GGTGGCCGGCGGGGGTGGGGCGGCCGGGAGGGAGCGGGCTTTCCCCCCCCATCCGACCCCCGGCCTCCGACAGGCGGCGTGAGGGAGCGCCCCCTGGCGGCGGCTACTCGTGTGCACATTTGTTTCCTTGTTGATAAAAGGTTGTAAATAATGATTTGTTTTTGTTTTTCAAAAAAAGTGCTGTTTTTAATACTTCTGTAATCAGTATATTATGTGATACCCTCTGCTCCTCTCTCGGATTTTTGTTTCAGACTAATTTTTTTTTTTACAACATTGTATTTATTTTATGAGTGGGTGGGTGGGGCACATGTAAGGAAGTACTCGGAAGAGAGAGAGGACACCTGATGAGATCTGGTCCTCTCCTTCCACCTTGTGGATGCTGGGGATCAAACTCAGGTTATGAGGCTTGGCAGCAGGCACCTTCACCGGTTGCCACCCCCTTTTTATAAAAATGTGCATTCGTCTAGATTAATGAAGGTGACATGGAAAAACCGACCTCAAGCAGATTGTCATTTAATAAGGGCAATGAAGGACATCAGTCCCTCCTAGAGACTGGAGACTGAACACAAAGTGCAAGGGGGCTTTTTATAGGGCTGAAAAGGGAAATATCAGGGGGGTGGAAGAGTCCATCTGCCGGACAGTTCCCCAGCTGTCTCAAAGGGATAGATACCAAAAGAGGTTGGCGTGCTGATCTTATGGGAGGCTTCCTCCATCCTGAGAGCCACAGGTGTTATATTAGTCAAGTCAACTTTCCTGCCTGGAATTTCTCGGCCCACCTGAGGCTTTTAGATCCTTTACCTTCAATGTGTATGGATGTTTTGCCTACGTGTAGGTCTGTGCACAGATCCATGCCTGTTGCCCAGGTAGAGCAAAAGGCTTTAAAAGGCTTTAATTATTATTCTGTCCAATGTAAATTTTTCTTTTTCTTTTTTCTTTTCTTTTTCTTTTTCCTTCTCTCTCTCTCTCTCTCTCTCTCTCTCTCTCTCTCTCTCTTTTTTTTTTACATAGTTTGTTCTTCAAACAGGGCCTAGTAGTACACACCTGTAATACTAACACTTGGGGAACAGGAGGAAGAGGAGTGTTCTGGGTCAGCCTGGGCTACATAGTGAGACTCTAAAAACAAACAACAAAATGCCACACGTGAAAAAGGAAGAAAGGATGGAAAAAAGGAAGGGAGGGAGGGAGGGAGGAAGGGAGGGGAAGGAGAGAAGCAGGGAGGAAAAAGAGAAGGAGAAATATGGTTTGTTTTGTTTTGTTTCTACTTAAGTATTTGGAGCTAGAAAGATGGCTCAGTGGTTAAGAGCACTGGCTGCTCTTCCAAAGAACCCAGGTTCAACTCCCAGTACCCACATGGCAGCTCACAACTATGTGTAACCCCATTTCCAGGGGATTCAAAGCCCTCTTCTGGCCTTTGGGGACACCAAATATACATTTGATGCAACAGATATACATGCAGGTAAAGTACCCACACAAAGCTGGACATGGTGGCGCACACGTTTAATCCCAGCACTCGGGAGGGAGAGCCAAGCTGATCTCTGTGAGTTTGAGGCCAGCCTGGTCTACAGATAAAATGTATTTTTTAAAAGAAATCTTTACCAAACAGTGTTTTCTTCCCCTGCATTTTCTTCTGTTTTGCAGTTTTCTTTTTTATATTAGGTGTGTGTTTCATCTTGAGGCTGTTGGGCTTTGTTTTGTATAAAGTTGAGGTAAAGATCAACGGTAGCATTTTTCAGATGGAAATTCAGTTACCACGACTGTTTGTTGAACAGTTGTTTTTGTAAACTGTTGTTTCTGAAATCTGTTGCATTCCATTGTTTGTCTTTATGTCACGTTGTCTTGATGATCATGGTTTTTTAACTCTTAGAAACAGATACTATTCCTGTTCCAACTTGGTGCTATTTCACAGTTATCCTGCTTACTCTAGATCCTTTATATTTCTTATTAATCTTTAGAATAACAATACAGGGTCTCCTGATCCAGGAGCATATTCTAGCGGTTTATTTAGTTTCTATAATTTCTCTCTGCTGTACTGTTACACTGAATGTTTTCTCCAGAGCCTCCTACTTTCTGAATTCAGTGAGATTTCGTTCACTACCAACCTTGCCAGGTCTCTGCCGTGTTATCTCTGCAGTTCACGATCTCTCTCTTTAGCCTTTCTTTCCCAAACTGTCCCTAGGACTGACCCGCCCTGTTCTCCTACAAGCACATAACTTGTTTCATGTACCCACCGGAGAAGCCGATCAATAACAATCATAGTCTACGGTTTATAGTCTGCTGTGTTAACAATGACCTGTTTTGAAAGACGTCTTCTTTGACCTTTTAGAAAAGGATCGTTCTTACCTCCCAACACTGTGGAGTGGTTGTGTGTGTGTGTTTAAAAATAAGCGGTGCTTTGTGTAGGGTTGAGACCTTCCCAGGTTTTCCCCCACCCACTTGGGCATGTCCAAAAGAGAGTAAGGAGGGGGTACATGAGAGAGTTTGGAGGAGGAAAAGGAAGGGGAGAATGATGTGATTTGATTAACAATCTCAAAAAAGAAGCTGTTCTTGCTGGGCAGCGGTGGTGCCCGCCTTTAATCCCAGCACTCTGGAGGCAGAGCTAGGTGGATCTTTGTGAGTTTGAGGCCAGCCTGGTCTACAGAATGAGATCCAGGACAGGCACCAAAACAAAACAGAGAAACCCTGTCTTGAAAAACCAAAACCAAAACCAAAAAAAAAACCAAACCTGTTCTTGGAGTGGAGTGGGTACATCTGGAAATTAGGGAGAAATTGTCATGTTGAAAAATATAGTAGTCTCAAAGGTTTTCTTACTGTCTTGGTATATTGAAATCTCCATGGTTTATCTTTTTTTAAATTTTTATATTTTATTTTTTTTTATTTCTTTGAGACAGGAGTTTTGGAGCCAGTCCTAGACCTCGCTCTGTAGACCAGGCTGGCCTTGAACTCACAGAGATCTGCCTGGCTCTGCCTCCCGCGTGCTGGGATTAAAGGCGTGCATAACCACCACCCGACATGGTTTATCTTTTGTTCTGAGTTTGTTTTAACTACAGACACTTAAAAGCAAGCAAGCAAGCAAAAACAAACAAACCAGGGCTGGGAGCAGACCTCCTTGAGCCGGTGTCTCTGCTGCTTCGCCCCGGCCCACTCCACAGAAGGCACACGACCTTGTCCAGTATGGAGAAACACTTGTTCAGCCTGAAGTTCGCGGCCAAAGAACTGAACAGGAGTGCCAGAAAATGCGACAAGGAGGAAAAGGCCGAAAAGGCCAAAATTAAAAAGGCCATTCAGAAGGGCAACATGGAAGTTGCGAGGATACACGCCGAAAATGCCATCCGCCAGAAGACCCAAGCGGTGAATTTCTTGAGAATGAGTGCGCGGGTGGATGCGGTGGCTGCCCGAGTCCAGACCGCGGTGACCATGGGCAAAGTGACCAAGTCCATGGCCGGTGTGGTTAAGTCCACGGATGCGGCGCTGAAGACCATGGATCTGGAGAAGATCGCTGCTTTGATGGACAAATTCGAGCACCAGTTTGAGACCCTGGACGTCCAGACGCAGCAAATGGAAGACACGATGAGCAGGACGACGACGCTGAGCACTCCCCAGAACCAGGTGGATATGCTGCTCCAGGAAATGGCAGATGAGGCGGGCCTCGATCTCGGCATGCAGCTGCCGCAGGGCCAGACGGGTTCCCTGGGAAGGAGCGTGGCTTCGGTTGAGCAGGATGAACTGTCCCAGAGACTGGCCCGCCTTCGGGATCAAGTCTGACTGAAGAAGCTGTCCGAGGTTTACTTTTGACGCGCTCTCTTGTGTTTTAGAATTGTGCCAGAATACCGATCACTCTTCTTTCTAAAAACCTTTGGGTTTACAGCTCTCTCCAGATAGGACAAGGAATTCCACTTTTCCTCCACCTTTAACTGGATTTTAAAGTTCTTTATAGCTTATGATGATGTGTATTTTTTTTTTATAGCTGCCTTGGAACGAACCGGTTAATTTGCTGTACATGAATCAAGAAAAATCGGCAGAACTCTAGTCCTCATGGAATCCGTTTTCACTTAGAATCATCAGATTGAAGTTTATTTTTAGTGTGGTTGATGATACATAGACTGACAAGTGGTACAAAAAAATTACATGAGGAGGAATGGGTACTTTTTTTGCAAATTTGTAAACACTTTGTTCAACTTATTCGGTGGGAAATACTCTTTCTGTATATCATTTGGTTTTCTTTGCTTTTGCTATCAAAGAAAGACTACAATTGACTATTAATTTATACTAAAATTACCATAGAAGATTTTTGAAAATACTCGTTTTCCATCCTGTTAGTTCATATAATAATGGAGTTTGTGTAACTAGGAAAAAATACCACATAATTTATTATCAGGAAAAATTAAATTTGTTTATTTATATTCTAATTTACCAAGAATTCTTAAGGCTTAACATTTGATAATTTCTAGTTGTTTGCTAATGAAAGTCAATCTTTATTGACTTCTGATCAAAATAATGTTCATCACCATGGCAGTCCTATTACATGCCTAACATTGCCAAAGAACTGCCGATTGGGTCCAGGTAAATCCTGGAACTATGTCACTATAGGTTTTGTTTTTATTTAATAACCAAAAATATAAATAAAATTAGAACAGCCTTCTTTTTAAGTTCTAATTATTTGTATGTATTATTTTGGCTTAAAGCAACAACTCTTTTAGAACCTCAAAAAGCCTAAGTTAATGCTGTAGATCTGCAAAGCTTAAATGTACATTTGACCAGCTGGAAGTCCCGGACCCAGGAGTGAGCTGGGATTAGAAGGAAAGAGACAGAGACTGGAAGCCTCCACCACCCTCCGCCTTCCTATTTTCCTCTGGTGGACAGCAAAGCACCTCCCGTTTTCTCCCGGCCTCCAAACACAGAGAACAAGTGTTTGCTTGGCACATCCATTAACCTAAGTTAAATACTTACAAAGTTTGTTTTATTTCATTTCCCCTTTTTCTGAGTTTTTTTTTCTATTATGAGAATTCCAATGTTTCAGACAAAAATAGAGCCTCTACAAAACTCTTTGAAAAACCTACTATAGTGTGGTTTCCCATGTGACTAAGTGTTAGTGAAAACAAGTGCAAGCCTGCACAGATGTGTACTAAAGCTCAGAGTGTATGTGTATACATATTTACACATTTTTTTGATAAGTGCTCTAAGGGACACCTTAACCACCTAGTTTCCTCTCCCAAAGGACCTTTACCAGACGACATGTCTTCTCATATACACAGTTGTGCTGAGTCAGGCGTGCGTCAATAAAACCTGTGTCTTAATCCTTTAAAAAAAAAAACAAAAAACTATTAGCCCAGCAGTGGTGGCGCACGCCTTTAATCCCAGCACTTGAGAGGTAGAGGTAGGTGGATCTCTGTGAGTTTTGAGGCCAGCCTGGTCTACAGAGTGAGATCCAGCACAGCCAAGGCTACATAGAGAAACCCTGTTTTGAGAAACAAAAAACAAAACAAACAAAACTATTAAGGTAAATTTCACAGTGCTGTGGAAGAATCCTTCTGTACACTGTGAATATGTGTCACTATCATTGGTTTAATAAACAAGCTGGCTGGCCAATTGCTGAATGGGATAAAGTTAGGCAGGAAAGCCAAACTGAGAATGATGGGATGAGAAAAGGTGGAGTCAGAGGAGTCACCAGCCAGACACAGAGGGAGCAGGAGATGAACGTGCCATGCTAATAAGGGCACTGCCATGGGGCAGAGCATAAATAAGGAATATGGGTTAACTTAAAATGTAACAGCTAGTTAGTAATAAGCCTGAGCTATCGGCCAAACATGTATTATTAATATTAAGTCTCCATCTTGGTTATTTGGGAGCTGGTGGACAGGACAGAAACTTCCACCTATATCACAGACATAAAATTAACTGGGTTTAAGCATCAAAACTTAGTTCCTCATGCTTGCAAGGCAAGCTGTCTTCCCCAGCCCCCCAAAATTAACTGTCTGGTTGTATTAGTTAAGGTTCTCTAAGAGAACATAACTGATAGAGTGATTTATTAGCATCGCTTAGTCTATGGCCCAAGTTGTCCACTAATGACTGTCTCCCAGTGGAAAGTCCAAGAATCCAGTAATTGTTCAGTCCATGAGACTGTATCTCATCAGTCTCAATCAGGGCTGGGGTGCTGGAGGGATTCTTAGAGAACTGCTGGTCTTCAGTCTACACTGGAATTCTGAAGAAGTAGGTTCTAATACCAGGGAACGCATGCCCTCCCCAGCAGGATAGATGAACTTGCCAGTGTGAGTGAGGGCAAGCAGGCAAAAAGCAAAAGCTTCCTTTGTGTCCTTGTATGTGCCACCAGATGTGCCTAGATTTAGGATGGGTTTTTAACCTCAGGTAAGGTACCCAATCAAGAAAATCTCTCACAGGCATGCCCAGCTGCTTAGGTTTCAGTTAATTCCAGATATAGTCAAGTTGATAACCAAGACTAGCCAGCACACACCAATGGAACTTTTTGTTCTGTTTTTTTTTTTTTTTTTTTTTTTTGTCTTTGGGTTTTTGTTTTTGTCTTTTTTGTTTTTTGTTTTTGGGTTTCTCTGTGTCATTTTGGTGCCTTTCCTGGATCTAGCTCTGTGGACCAGGCTGGCCTCGAACTCACACAGATCCACCTGGCCCTGACTCCCGAGTGCTGGGATTAAAGGTGTGTGCCACTGCTGCCCGGCAACACCAATGGAACTTTTAACAATCAGCCATATTGTAGTGAGTGTGTAAATGGCAGTGGTGTCTTTAAAAATGAGAGCTAGTCAGCTGTTGCTTCTCCCAAAATTGGTAAAGCTATACTAAAACAGGATATTTCAAAAGGAAAAAAATCCCACAGAAGCATCTGGGATGTAGCTCTATGGCAGAGCACTTGAACAAGTCTAACTTCTATCCCTAGTGCTGAAAACAAAAACAAACAAACAAACAAACAAAAAAGTACTAGAAAAAGATTTGAGGGAACAAAAGGGAGAAAATAGTCGAAAAGCTGACCATGGCTGAGAGCTAGCTGGGGAGATCCTCTGGCCTGGAAAGAGAGCATTCTCTCTTGCTTAAATAAAACAAGGCCTCCAACATGGTGTCAGTAGTCCTAAGGTCTGGAGGAGCTGTTACAAGGTTGGGAAGGGATGGCTATTTAGTCAGCTAAAGATAGTCCAAGATAAATTGTAGCTGGGCCCTGGACCTGCGACATTCCAGCCTCTCCACCATCATTGAGGTTCTAGTCAACCAGCCTTGCCAAAAGTTCCAGTTTGTACATGTGGCTTCTTTCTGGGAATATATTTCACATGTCATCTTCTTGAGGGCTGGGATTGCAGATGTGGACCACCACTGCCAGACTGTCTGGGTTTTATATAGATGAAGTTTAAATGATGGGAGTTGAAAGGTTATAGTAGCACACGTAAATATACAGACAGAAAAACTCTCCAAAAGCGTTAGTTTATCTCACAGGAGAATTATATACTGCCTCAGAGGAACAGTTATAGCCTGCCCTTTTTTTTTTTTTTTTTTTTTTTGGTCTCCTGTTCTTGCTTAAGTTCACAAATGCATGGAAAGGGCTGGGTATACACTTGTAGTCTTAGCACTCAGGAGGCCAAGGAAGATCGCGAGTTCTAGGTCAGTCTGTGGTACACTGCAAGCCTTTCAATAAAATAATAACAGCACAAAGGTAGATCTCAATTTAAGATTTTGAGCTGGGCGGTGGTGGCACACGCCTTTAATCACAGCACTTGGAAGGCAGAGGCAGGCGGATCTCTCTGAGTTTGAAACCAGCCTGGTCTACAGAGCAAGTTCCAGGATAGGCTCCAAAAGCTACACAGAGAAACCCTGTCTCAAAACAAAACAAGACAAAACAAAAAACCAAAAACCAAAAAACCAAAATAAATAAATAAATAAATAAAATGCAAGCTGTGCAAACATGGACATCTAACATGTGAGCTCATCTCGCTTGCGAATTGTAATCACAACCCACTTCCGTTAGGCAGCTCAAAAAGAGCCTTTGTGACTATGTACTACTCCTCAGGGAAGTTCTGAGCTCCCCCTCGGTGGTGAGCGCACCAGCAGCCATCTGCTGTCCTTCGCCTTGCTCGGGACTGTGTCTGCAGACTTGTCCTGACTTGTCAACCCGAGTCCTGCTACATCCCGAGGCTGCAGCGAGCCCGCCCCGCCCCCGGTCGCCCGTCGGTCCAGCTGGAAAGAGCATCTTTCGATTTTTTGAAACCTCACGCCAGCCTGCCAACGCTACAGACTCCGGGACGGCCCCGCCCCTCGGGGCCAGGCCCCGCCCCCCTCCGCGCTCATTGGCCCATTCAATCCACGCCGGCGCCGAGGCGCGCGCATTGAGCGATGGCAGAGGAGACCAGGAAACGCTGTCCGGGCAGGGCTGCGAGGAACACCTTGCCGGTGCCCCGGGACCTGCAGCTGCCTCCGACCAAGAGAGACCAGCCGGCCTTCAGAGGTGAGCGGCGGCGCGGGGCCTGGGCCGCTCGGCCGCCCCACGGCCTCCTGACAGCCTAGGCCGCTGGCCGTGGGGGGGCGCGCGGCCCCGCGCCTGGGTGGAAGCTGGGGAGGGCAGCGGTTTCGCACCCCGGCCGGGGCTCGGGGCTGCGGGGGCGGGGCCGCAAGGACCCCCGACTGCGCCTGCGCGCGGGTTCGCCCGGGCTGAGCTCCGCAGGTGAGGCTTGGTTTTGCAAGACGGAGTTGAGTGGTCTGCGGCGATAATACGGAAAGCATTTTCTCACCCAACTTCTGTAAGTTGGCCCAAATTGGGAGACTAGTATCGCATCTCTACCGTTGTTTCTTGGAGACTGGCTTTCTGGAACCGTATGTCCAAATGGTGTGTCCTAGGGGACGTGGTATCTGTCTGTCTGTCTGCGATGTCCGTCCGTCTTTTCTGGTACTGTTGAGGATGGACCCCAGTTGTTCTATCGTTGAGCAATAGCCTGCCTCACTCCAGACTCTGGACTCCAGGGAATGTGTTTCTTATTCAGGGCAGTTGTGAGCATCTTTCCGGCAAAAATTTTTGGTTTTTCGGGACAGGGTTTGTCTGTGTAAATGCCCTGGCTGTCCTGGAACTCGCTTTGTAGACCAGGCTGGCCTTGAACTCACAGAGATCCACCTGCCGCTGCCTCTCCAGTGCTGGGATTAAAGGCATGCGCTGCTGCCACTCCCGGCTATTCAGGCTAGATTTGTGCGAGCTAGACGCAAGCTAGAGAGCCCTGTGAGAGGAGAGCCCTGTGAGAGGAAAGAACCTAAATTGAGAAATGTTTCCGTAACATCAGGCTATGGGCAAGTCTGTAGGGCATTCTTTTTAAATTAGATTTTTGATGATTTGCCAGCATGTGTGTCTGTGTGAGTGTGTCAGATCCCCTGGAACAGGAGTCATAGAAAGTGTGAGCTGTCACATGGATGCTGGGAATTGAACCCGGGTCCTGGAAGAACAGCCAGTCCTCTTTTTGAGACAGGGTTTCTCTGTGTAGCTTTGCGCCTTTCTGGGTCTCTCGCTGTAGACCAGGCTGGCCTGGAACTCACAGAGATCCGCCTGCCGCTGCCTCCAGAATTGATTAAGTGATTGAGGGGGGAGGGGGGAGGGCCCAGCCCATTGTAGGCGGCGCTTCCCCTGGGCTGTTGGTCTTGGGCACTGCAGAAGAGCAGGCAGAGCAAGCCAGTAAGCAATGTTCCTCCATGGCCTGCACATTCCTGTCCTAACTGCTTTTGATGATGAACTGTTCTGTGGAATTGTGAATAAAAGGAACCCTTTCTTCCAAGTTGCTTTTGGTCAGGGTGTTTCATCACAGCAACAGTAACCCGATGGCAGCCCCTTTTATGATAATTTCTGATTAATGGGATAATTTCTGTAAGTTGAGAAGTTTCCTACTATATTGATATAGAAATGATATATTTTCCCAGGGAGGCAGTCCACACACTCAGTGATGAATTAAGGTGCTCTTTGGTAGCATTTGTCCTGCTCTGGCCAATGCCCACGGAGGAGCCAGCCTTGAATAGAAGATTTCAGTAGCTTATGTGTACATTAGCCTTGTGCTTTTTGGTTTGTTGAGACAGGGTTTCTCTGTGTAGCTTTGGAGCCTTTCCTGGAACTCACTCTGCAGCCCAGACTGGCCTCCGAACTCAGAGATCTGCCTGGCTCTGCTTCCCGAGTGGAGTGCTGGGATTAAAGGTGTGCGCCACCACCGCCTGGCAGGCTTGTGCATTTTACATATGCTGTTGCGTCCCAGCCCCAGGTTACACTTTGGACAGTTTAAAACAGAGACAGACTAACTAGAAGTCTGAACATTTGGGTAGATGGGAGATTGACACAGCAAAGATAATTGCCAGAATTATTTAAGTATACCAGTGATATTCTTTTCTGAATAAATTGTCAGTCAGGGTCATCATTCCCCCTGATGGAGCTATTCAAATTTTTCTGTAAAGCTCCAGTGTAAAAAATGCTGTGTTGTAGGGGACTCAACACTCAGGGTCCTCTTGTTTTCAACCCCTGAGAAAGTAGCTTTGAGGTCAGAACCATCTGTGTCTGAGGTGGTTCTACCACAGCTCCACACAAGAGGCACTAAACTGGCTCCAGCAAGTCAGAGTTCAGAGTTCGGGGTCCAAAGGCCTAATACAGTGGTTCTCCCCGACCTGTGGGTCGCAACCCCATTGGAGTTGCATATCAGATATTTACATCATGATTCATAACAGTAGTTATGAAGTAGCAATGAAATAATTTTATGGTTGGGGGTCACCAGGACATGAGGAACTGTATTAAAGGGTCACAGCATTAGGAAGGGCCCTGTAAGAGACATTAGCCAAGCCTTTTTAATTCTAGTAGCCATTCCAAGAATACCAGGGGCTCTCTAGGGCTTCCCTTCTGTTGGCTACCCTTTCCTCTCTGTGCTTCACCATGTTTCTAACTAGTCGCTGACTAGTTACCATAGTAATAGCACTCTTTATTCAAACAGGCATAGAATCTCCCTTTCTCGGCAGCTAGTAGATTTAGGCCTTTTACAGAGTTGTGAGGCTCTATTCATTTTCAGAAAAATATATCCTCTCCAAGGACCAACTGTCATTTGGATGCACAGCCAGGCATAACTCATTAAAGAAACCAGATGATTTTACAAACCTGTTATTATCAGATATAACAGAGCTGGTAAAATTCTTTGTGTCCAGTCTATGGGAGTCCACGGTGGCTAGCCCTGTAGGAAGCATTATGGCCAGTCTTACCATGAGTCCAAAGGGAGGAAGAGGCCTTGTGATCCCCATCTGCAAATGTCTCTTGTTGGATTCCTCAAGCTTCTACCATGTGTCTGTCATGTGCCGTGGCTTTCAGGATTGCACTGGGAACAGGGCGGAAGAGCTCTTTTCTATGAGAGGCTGGTGTGGGTGGACTGTCAGTCCAGGTCTCCTCATCCTCCTCAGGTAGGATAGCTGCTGTAACTTAGTGTTTAAATGAGTGCCCACATTTCAGCCTGCTGTGCTGATTGGCCTTCTTCGTTTGTTTGTTTGTTTGTTTGTTTTTGTTTTTGAGACAGGGTTTCTCTGTGTAGCTTTGCACCTTTCCTGGAACTCACTCTGTAGACCAAGCTGGCCTCGAACTCACAGAGATCTGCCTGCCTTTGCCTTCCGAGTGCTGGGATTAAAAGCTTGTGCCACCACTGCCCAGCTCTGATTGGCCTTCTGACAGAAGCTCTGTCTTATATTATCTAAAACTCCTGGGGAGTCCTTACACAATCTCTTATTGATCCTGAGACCTGGATCACCAGCTTTGCCAAGAGAAGGAATATTGAAGCCAGGCCAAAGGGCATGGCCAATTGAACTAGCATGCAGGTCTCATACTAGTTGGGTGACAGGCTCAGATAGAAGATCCCCCATTTGCAGCACCCTCAGTCAGTTCAGGAGACAGTGAAGAGTCATTGCTATTTGCTTTTGTTGCTTGAGACATTTAGGGTGTGGGTGCAGACTCTAAGATCCTCCATTGGGTGAGACTCCTCTGCCTGTCAAGGGAGACTGAGGACTAATTCATCTTCCCTATAGCTAGGGCATTTTCTGGTCTGCTCTGCACAGTGGAGACAGGAGCAGCAGACTCTAGCAAGTCTTACTTCCCCATGCATCCTTATTCTGCAATGAGACTAGCATGCAACTTCCTCTGGTATCTGTCCCACCCAGGGAAAGTATCACTCGAGCCCATCATGTAAGTGTATTGTAAATTTGACCCATTTTACTTGAGCATTTAATTCTCTGTACTTAGTTGATCCTTTTAAATGTGTCTGATTTTGAAAAGTATTTTTTATTTAACAAACCTTAAGTTTGCTTTTAAACTTGTTTTGAGTTACCTGCTTTAGGGTTTACCCTTGACAACATATGCAGAAGACTCTGTACTTCAAAATATAAATTGGTCTCTCTCATTGTCTCTGTAAATGAATTACATTTGTACTTACATGACTACAAACACAATTCTGGGCATATAAAGGACATTTAATCACTTTATTTTTTTTTTTTTTTTGCATTTCAACAACTTTATTGAAAGGTATATTCCTTAGTCAAAACATAATGGTAGTTGGTTAGTTTACTTCAGTCCACTCAAAATCAACATTGTTTTTCAAATGGAGGCACATCAGCCTTCAGAAAGAACTGAAAAGTTATCCATGAAACATGGTTCACAAAGGTTAAGGATGAAATACTCCTCCTGTTCTTTGGTTTATTTTTCAGTAGTCATTATCCATTACATGTCAAAACGGTTACAGCCACTCTGGGTGGACTCAGGCTGCACAGTGTTTGAGACAAGGTCTCTCTCTATAGCCCTGGCTGTCCTGGAATGTACTAACTATGCAGACCAAGCTGGCCTGGAACCCACAGAGCTCCACCTGTCTCTGCCTCCCCAGTGCTGAGACTAAAGGTGTTCGTCACCCACCCAGCCATTTATCCACTTATAAGTGACTGGTCACTAAATCTTATGCTCAAAATCACCTTTGTGGGTTTTTTTTTTTTTTTTTTTTTTTTTTTTTTGTCTTTTTTTTTTCCAGAGCTGAGGACCGAACCCAGGGTCTTGTCTACCACTGAGCTAAATCCCCAACCCCCCAAAATCACCTTTGTTTTAACAGTTTACAATAAGTTAGCAACATGAGGATTTTGTACTAAGGTAATTTATCCCTGTTAAAATTTCTGAGCCTTAAAAATGACAGTTTTTTTTTAATTGAAGCTCTTTTAGTATCAAAATGCACTTTATACAATAAATACAGTCCATGGAGAAACTGGAAGCCTCTTTCTCCTGGGTAGTGTAGTTTAAAAAAAAAAAATCTTAAGTCAATTTAACAGAGCTTCTATATTCAGTAGCTCACTTTATCACAAAAGAACAATTATAGTCTGTCAATTTAATAGACCTTTTATATTCAGTAGCTCATTTTATCACAAGAGTATAATTATAGCAGAGAACAAGAAGATTGGTTGTCATCAGGAGAGAGAAGAATAAAAGGTGTACAATATATACAGCTCTGTATGACTCAATTTCTCCAGTTAGTTAAAGCTTAAAGTTAGCAAAGACACAAGTGACAAGACATACATCTTTAAGTCAGCTCTTGTCAACATGGATAGACCACGATATGCATAGGAACATTATATATCATTTTAACCGTTAAGTCTATTAAGTCCTGTTTGACATGCTCAGACCTCTGTGGCTTGGCTTCAAGCTTTTATGGTTTTGTTTCTGTCTTTATTTATCTAATTTATCTTATCTGAAAGATTGAACCCTTATTAAAGATATAACTTCAGATTTATATCTTAACTTTTTTTTTGACATCTCGCTGATCCTGAGAAAGTTCAGTCTCATCCAGAACTTTAGAGATAGCAACCTTAAATGAGAGAACATTCTGTATAAACAAGAACAAACAAGTTGGGTTGAGTACTCAGAGGGCTAAACATCTGTAATTGTAGTTTTAGCAAACTTTTTTTTTAAGTCCTGGAACCATCCAGCTGTCTTAAGCTTTACATATAAATCACCTTGACTGGACAATTTAAAAAATGTGAATACCAACCTGGGCAAGGTGGCTCACACCTTCAATTCCAGTACTTGGGAGATGGAGGCAAGTTGATCTCTGAGTTCAAGGCTCCCTGGTCTACAGAGAGTTCGAGGACAGCCAGAGCTACATAGAAAAGCCCTGTCTCAAAAACAAACAAGCAAAAAAATTAAATACCATGAGACATAACCCTAACAAATTTGTCATTTGCTGTAAGAAGTTTCCCTAAAAGGGGTGTAGTGCCACTCGGCCCCATAGTTTTTCACAGTCTTTATACCCTATCTCCAGAAACCTTGAGGCCTCATGAAATTAGAGCCTAACTGCATACAGCTGGCTGGGAGGAATGCCTCTCTCAGGTTAGGGTACAAAGACCTTGACTCTTCCCCTTGAGGGAATATTAACATCTGACATGTCCAGCTGTGATTATTTTAAGCAGCCACAGCTGGAGTTCTGAAGATGGCAGTTGTTTAGCTAGAACATATGTGACATCACCTTAATGAAGCAAGGGTGAATCCAAATTACACACATCGGGTACTACAATAAATTAATACCACCTGTGAACATACTGTTACCCCATTAGGCCCTGTCAGTTTCTGGGTAAACTGAATGAAAAAAAGAAATGAAAGGACAGGACAGGACTACTCCCAGGTATGGTGGAGGAGAAAGTTTATTGTAGGTATGTGGGAGACGTAGCCAGAGGCAAGGGTATCTGGGAGAGTGCAGAGGGGACATGAACAGGCTGAGCTGGGTGTGTGGAGAGGGGGAGGGGAAGGGAGAAAGGAGAGAGGGGAACCAGGTGCAGCAGCCGGAGGCCAAAGGTACCAGAGAGTAAGGGTAACCACAATGTCTGGATTATACGGGGAAGAGCCTCAGGGGGGAAGGGCAGCCCAGCCCCTGGGCTGGAGAGTGCAGGGTAGAGGGTGGGGTAGCCAGCCATGCCCTGTATCAGGTAGGGACTGAGGGATGCTGGGAGAACCTGACTCATTTAGCATGTGGAGCTTTAAATTCATGTTTACATCATCTAATACAATTTAGCTGAGGGAGCCCTGTTAAATCTATGCTGCTGGAGTTACTACTGAGATTTAAGACCGTGGGTCTCCTTCAGCCTCCCCATGTATGTTTCCTACTAGCTGTTTTTATTATGGGCATCTTCATACCCTGAGCTATATTGGAAATGTATCTATTGGAAATAGAAATTGGAAAAAGTTTGCCTCTTAGCTGTTCTCACGCACACAGTGATGTCTTCCACACGTGTAAGGCAAAGGAGTCCCAAGGACAGACAGACTCAGTGGAAAAAGCCAGCTTGCCTCCAGGCACAGCTAAGGGGCTCTCTTCCCAGAAAAACCAGCTGTGCACCCTGGGGCCGTTCTGAGGCGGGGCCCCTGGTCTCCCTGGCTGGCGAGGCTGCCTGGGGTTGTGGCTAGGGTTAAGGAAGGGGAGGGGTCTTCTGCTGCAACAATAGCTACTGCCCGGAGGCTCCAGCAGCCACGTTAGCCCAGGCCGGGCTCAGTGAAGGAGGCTGCACTGCCCCCTCGTGCCCTGCCAGAGAAGCGTTCGTTTCCGTTTAGAGGTACCAGAGCCATTTCCTTGTTCTGAGCAGGATTCAAAATTCCTTTCTTCGTAGGGAAGGAGCTCCAAGTCTTCACTGGACCTGTGTGTGTGTGTGTGTGTGTGTGTGTGTGTGTGTGTGTGTGTGTGTGTGTGTGTATGTGTGTGTGTGTTTACATATCAACCACACCCTCCTTCCCCCAATCCACTCTTTGGGGAGCAAAGTCTGGCATATCAAATTGAGGCAGGATCAAGGCTGAGCAAGGTATCCCTCCATAGGGAATGGGCTCCGAAAAGCCGGTTCATGCACCCATGCAGAAAGTTCTGACTGTCGGCTTTACTAGGAAGCTTCCTTCTGAGCCCTCTTCTAGCCCACAGGGTGGGGCCAGTCTTGACATCTTTCCTTGTCCTGAAGGTTTGCTGGTGAATTTTCCTAATCTCTGACTGGAGAGACTGGAGTGCCCTGCAGAGGAAGAGCTGGAAGTGGCCAGGGAGCACTCTTCCTACAGGACTCCCCCAGCCATTTGAGCAGCCTTTCCAGCAACACGAGTGGCCGCTGGAGAAAGACATCTCACCGAGGACCTCTCTATTTGTTGCATGTTATTTGCATGTCTTCCCTGTGAGGAGTCACTCCACACACTTAGAAAGTAACGAAGGAAAGGGTCTTTAATAGTGCTTAACTAGGTTTTGGCTAACACCCAAAGAAGAGCTGGCCTTGAAGAGAAGATTTCAATAGCTTACTTCAGTGGTGTCAACCTTCCTAATGCTGCAACCCTTTAATACAGTTATTCATGTTGTGGTGACCCCAAAACCATAAAATTATTTTTGTTGCTACTTCATAGCTGTAATTTTGCTACTGTTATTTATTGTTGTTTTGTTTTGTTTTTTTGAGAAGGGGATTTTCTGTATAGTTTTGGTGCCTGTCCTGGATCTCACTCTGTAGACCAGGCTGGCCTCAAACTCACAGAGATCTGCCTGGCTCTGCCTCCCGAGTGCTGGGATTAAAAGGCGTGCACCACTGCGGCCGGGCTACCATTATTAATCATAATATAAATATCTGTGTTTTCCGATGACCTTAGCTGACCCCTGTGAAAGGGTCATTGGACTCCCCAAAGGGGTTGAGAACCATTGGTACACACACACACACATACACACACTTTAGGCTTGTACATTTTACATGTGCTGTCATAAGGTTCAGTGTGTGGCTCTAGGTCACAGCGCTAGACTACATGTGCTGTCATTATTAAGCTCCAGGTCTTGACTCCAGGTAATACTTGGAACAGTTTAAACAGAGACAGGAGACTTCCTGTCTGGCCACTTTGAGCGTATGGGACATTGGCACAGCAAAGATAATTGACAGAATTATTTCTTAAGTGCATCAGTGTTGTTCTTTTCCAGTAGCTGTTGCCTAGGGTCATGTTGCCTACCTACCTGGCAGAATTATGATTTACTGATGAGAGCACAGAGGACTTTTATAGCAGACCAGGGCTTGGTGGTTGTGACCCTACTCTGCCCACCTTGAGCCGCTGTTAGGGGAGATGTCCTTCTTGTGTGACTAGAGCCGAAAGGCTGGTCAAGTCTAGAGAATAAGCATTTACATCCTAGCGTCTTCAGTCTCACCTCTAACCTGCCTGGCTAGCCTCACTTCCCCGTGGGGTGTTTGTGGGGCCAGTGCTGGCTTAGCTAGACCTACTTCGTGTGACTTGATGTCTCCTAAGCAAATCCGTTAGCAAATTCTTTAGAACACCAGTTCTAGTCATTTGAATTACTTCTACATCCGTGCAGACAACACCATCTCAAAGTAATTTTCCAAGTGAAATAACTGTTACTCAGCCACATTTGATGTTTTAACTAAAGTTGACTTTGTTACTCCTTCCTCTTTAGAACAAAGAAAAGAAAAACTCAAGGAATATCTGTTAACACGAAAAACAATGTTTTCATACAAACAAGGAAATCAGATATCCAGGTGAGGTCAAGTTTAATTCAGTTGTGCAGAATTCCATTAGAGTTGTCCAGTGAGAACCTAACATGTGCCTCATTTGTAACTTTTACTTTCCTACTAACCATATTTAACTTTAAAAAACGAAATAAATGTTAATAACACAATAATATATACAGTTATGATTCCAGATATTACTACTTCAGCATGTGATGTTTAAAAGCATTAAGAGGCCTGGACATGTATTCCCCCTACCCAAGAGCTGAGGACCAAACCCAAGGCCTTGCACCAAGTGCTCTACCACTGAGCTAAGTCCCCAACCCCTGGATATGTATTTTAGTAATAGAATGCTTGCCACCAAAAGCACCACAAAAGAAAAAGCACTATGATGACATTTGACCTTCTCTTTTGGTATCAAGTCTTCAAAGAATCTGGCGTGTATTAGCACTTTCTGCACATCACAATTTGTACCTGTGGCTCCTTTACGTGGATGATGCACTAGATAGTCATTTTCTATATATGTTCAAACTTGTCAAGGGCAACCATTACAGTTTTTTAAAAAATGTATTCTCTGTGTATATTCAGTTGCTTACCCACTTGTGCAGGTGCATACAAGATACAGTACACATATGCAGGCCACAGTAACTAACCTTCAGGCGTGTGTGCTCTGTGAATGAAACTGAGGTAGTCAGGCTTGGTGACAAGCAGCTGCATCTGCTGAACCATCTCACTGGTCCAAGAGAAAACAGTTTTAAAGCAAAGTGTATGTGTATGTACTGAGATATACTGACTTAGGAGCTGTGCTGTGCTGTAAAAGCCAGTGTTTGGGTTTTTTTTTTTTTTGGAAGTCTGCATTCTAAACACCCAGGCCTCAAACTTGAATTCCTTCTGCCCTCAAGTACAGGTCATAGATTGGTACCACTGCAGCTGTGATGGGCGATTGTATGTGTCTTTTGGGCTACAATATCCAGTTGTTTGGTCAAATAGTAAGTAGCCTAGATGTTGCAGTAAAAGAATCTTTTAAGGACAGGCATGGTGGCACATGCCTTTAATCCCAGCACTCTGAGGCAGAGGGCTGTCCCAGCTGTGTGAGTAGGGGACCAGCCTGGTCTACAGAGCGAGTTCCAGGACAGCCAGGGCTACACAGAAACCCTGTCTTGAAAAACAAAAACAAACAAAACGGAAGAAGAGAGTTTTTTAGGTGTGACTAATATTTGAACCTGTGACTTTGAGCACAGCAGGGGGCCCTCTGCCTAGGTGGACTTCATCCAATAGAAAAGCAGAGTTGGAGGTGATAATCTTGCTCTGCAGTTGTTAGGAATTAAAGTTTCATGAGCTCTACAATGCCAGATTTTGTCAGTTTTATCAAATAACACGGTTCCCACATTTTAGCATACTTTCTGAACTTGTGAATCTGTTTTAGAATTACTGGAATGTCTAATTGACAATAAATATTTTATTTCCTATACTGATTTTACATGCAGTTGGTATCATTTACTAAGGGATAGTCAGATACTATACAAGTCTATGGCTAAAAAAAGTTGGGCTAAGGCTTTAAATGCATCTTGTCTACTCCATTAACTACACAAATCTTAATTCACTTGCCTCAATTTAAAATTTAAAATATGGGACCTTGACTATAGCTCAGTGGTAGAGCATTTGTTTGGTTTGTACACACAAGCTCCCTTTCCCTAAAAGTAATTCTCCTTCATACAGAACTAATTATTATCTTTTTTAAACTAATAGAGATCAGAAAGTGAAGACGTCTGAAGATCAGGTCCAAGAAGGGAAGCGAGTTCTGAAACTCAAAACAGAAATGGTAAGATATGTGTCTAGCACTCAGACCTTTCCTACATTGTTATGAAGAAATGAGTTCTGAAATACTGAGTCCTCTTAACTCTTGTAGGCCGATAAAGAAAATATTGGAAACACAAGAAACTGCATTCCATTAAAAGCTGGTGACGTAACCAGTTCAGAAAGACACAACCTGAAGGATAACATTCAAGCTGTGCAGTTATTATCAACTCGAGGTGATTTCCAAGGACAGACAATGACGTCAGACCAGGCAAGTCACCTTAAAGACAATAAAAAGATGCAAGCAACACCAGAAAAGCCCAGACAGGATGCTAACGTGCCCAAAAAACGAGCGCTTGGCTATTATCATGGCCAGGTTGTTCAGTCCAAGATTAATTCATTTAGAAAGCTTCCAAATGTCAAAGGTGAGAATCCGGCAACAAGCAAGAAACTTCCTGCTACTGTGTCCAAAACAGCAAAGGCTCAGTCTGTGTCTGCAAACTCCATCAGTGTAAGAGCCTCAAACGTGACTGCTGCCACCAAGTGTGTCAACGCTAAGTCTGTGAGCACTACATCCAAGAACACGCTTGTGCGACCACCCATTAGAAGCCTCCACGGTGATACCCAGGGCGCTGTGAAACAGGGTCTCGGCAGGACCCTCGCCAACGTGACTGTCAGAAAGGGGCCCTTTAAAAAAGAATCACTACGATCAGAAGCGGTTGCATCTGTTGTTGATTCCCGTCCTCAGGACAGGAAAAGAGATAAGGCACCGTCAAGAAGTGTGACATCTGAAGGTGTAGCCAGGACTAATTTGTCTAATACCAGACTGATAGAAAAGTCAAAAAATGCCGACCAGCGCAGATACACAGTAGCAGGAGCAACTGTCCATAGATCACTTCTGCCCAGAGAAACCACAGAAGAGAGAAAGTAAGTAGACAAAATTCACTGTCTTCTTAATTTTTAGTAGAATACCATTTGTGAATTTGGCTTGTAATTTCCTTGAATGTATTAGAATTTCTTTAATCGATTATTTTCTGCCACGCAGTCAGATTTATGTATGGAGTAACAAGTCTAAAAAGTTATATGTTTTAAGTGTAGTTTGCTGGTTGCTTTTGATCTCAGCTGAACGCTAATAATAATTGAGAAATATTTATAACATAGCCATTTGAAAATGCATCCTTTGGTGCTTTTTTTTTTTTTTAGAATTTATTTATTTTATTATTTTTATTCTTTTCTCAAACATTACATCCCAACAGCAGTTTCCCCTTCCTCCCCTCCTCCCAGTTCCTCCCCCCACCTCCACTCTCCCCCAGATCCACTTTTCCTCCCTTTCCCTTCAGAAAAAAGCAGGCCTCCCAGGGATGTGTGTGAGAGGGCATTGGCTCCTCTGGAACTGGAGTTACAGGTGGTTGTGAGCCTCCTGATGTTGGTGTCAGGAACCAAACTCGGGTCCTCTGTAAGAGCAGTAAGCACCCTTAACTTCTCAGCCATCTCCCCAGCTCCCATTTGGATCCCAGCTCTTGGATCCTTTGAACATATTTGGTCTGGTTATGTTCAAGAGTTCACCTCTGCAAACAAATAATACATTGTATGTTCCACCAGTTTAGAACTTAGTTTTCTTGATTTGTGTATGGGTGTTTGGCATACATGGATGTCTATGCACCATGTGTGTTCCTGGTGCCCACAGAGGCCAGAAGAAGGTGTCAGGTCCCCTGGAACTGGAGTTACACATGGTTGTGAACCACACGAGGATGCTGGGAATCATTCATACCAGGGTTCTCTGGAAGAGCAGCCGGTGCTGTTGCGCCATCTCTCCAGCCCCAGATGACTTGAAATGTATTCACCTACTCCTTCTAGCAGGATGCCATCATCAAAATCAAAGTAACGTTCATGTCCTGCTTCTGCTTGTAGAGCTCGAACGGCTGAATGGAGAACTGGCAAAGGGAAGGGGCTGAAAAGGCCCCCTAATTTAGTAGCTAATCAGTCTGAGCCCAAAGGGCCAAGTGAAAACCCAGTCGAGTCCTTTTGGACTACCATGGCAGAAGAAGATGAACAGAGACTGTTTACCGAAAAAGTAAACAAGACCATTTCTGAATGCCTGAACCTGATCAATAAGGTAGAGTCCTCTTTAAAATACGTATGGCTGGTTTGCCTGTATGCATGTCCATGTGTGTGCCTGGTGCCTGCAGAAGATAGAAGAGGGTGTCAGATCCCCGGAACCCGATTTACAGATGGTTGTGGGCCATGTGGGTACTGGGAACTGAACCCAGATCCCCTGGCAGAGCCATCTCTCCAGCCTTCAAGGTAGAGCCTTCATTTTTGTACATCTTATAATTTAGAAATGTTTTTTGTTATTTATTTATTTATTTATTTATTTATTTATTTATTTATTTATTTATTTATTTATTTATTTATTTATTTCGAGACAGGGTTTCTCAGTGTAGCTTTGCGCCTTTCCTGGAGCTCACTTGGTAGCCCAGGCTGGCCTTGAACTCACAGGGATCCGCCTGGCTCTGCCTCCCGAGTGCTGGGATTAAAGGCGTGTGCCACCACCGCCCGGCCTAGAAATGTTTTTTAAAAGATTTTATTTATGTACTTAAATGAGTTTATTGTTAGGGTCCGAGAGAAGCCCCCAAGAAAGACAACAGTCACATAATGCAATTAGCAAGAGCATTTATTTCCAGCGTGTTGGGGTGGCAAACAAATAGCGACCCAGAAGGGAGGTCTCAAGCTCTTTTTAAGCAGTTAGGGGAGTTCCACGGAGGAGGGATTAATTTGGTGCTGATTGGTAGAGGAAAGATTAGTCTGGGAGCTGATTGGTTAGAGGCTGTATTGGTTAGGGGCTTCTTGACCGGAGGGTAGGACAAACTACCTTTAGCTAGCAGAAGGCTGGGGGGGGGCATCTG